CTGTTCCTGTTTCTGGTTCATATTTCTACTTGCTGTTTCTATGTCCTACTTCTGCTTCATATTTCTGCTTCCTGCTTTATATTTCTGCTTCCTGTTTCCTAATTCTACTTCCTGCTTCTGCTTCCTGTTTCTGGTTCATATTTCTACTTCCTGTTTCTACTTCCTTTTTCTACCTTCTGTTTCTACCTCCTGTTTTTGCTTCCTGTTCCTGCTTTCTGCTTCCTGTTCCCTCCTTCTACTTCCTGTTTCTGCTTCCTGCTTCCTGTTCGTTGAGTGTTTGTGCATCCAGTGTTCTGCGTGTTGGATCTTTAATCTAAACCCCTGTGTGATCAGCCCTACAGGACTCTGCTATCTGCACCCTAAGCAGCTCAGTTCAAACTACTTTATTAACCCAGAGTAGGGCCGTTCAATCTGCATTCTCCAGTCAGACCCAAACAAAACAAACAAAACTAAAGAAAAAGAGAAGAACTCCTAATTTTACTGCTGGTTACTCCCAGCTTGCAGACATATCTTTATTTATAATGCAGGCCTGGAGGCCCTTAGAGGACAGATGCCCTGGTCGGGATTTGAACCCCCGACCTGATGGAGTTTGTTCTGGGTAATTGGGAGGTTTTGGTGGCTTTCTGGTGTTCCAGTTGAATCAGGTCGACCTCGGTTTAACGCCAATTTCTAACATTTCTTCTCTTTAGTGGAAACCTTTGGTCCAAAATGATGCAAAATGGCTAGTTAAGCTAGCTAACCCTAACCCTAGTAGGTCTTTAATGTCATCAACCCTCTCTTTCCCTCAGGCCGTCCTGTGGAGATACAAGTTCTCGCAGCTCAAAGGCTCCTCAGACGACGGGAAAACCCGAGTCAAGCTCCTGTTCAAGAACGCCGACAGCAACCAGATCGAGATGAAGGTAAGGAGAGGCCAAAGTCTGACCTTAGGTGTTTTCAGACCCTGTAGAAGAGCTAATTCTGTGGTAAATATGGACATTTACAGGCTTTCTGTGGAGAAAGCATCAAAGAGCTGCATATTTTAGAGCAGAAATGAAGCTTCTCAGAGTGAATGAGCAGGTTGTTTGTTGGTTGTTTTTCCTGTTTCTGCTTCCTATTTCCTGCTTCTGCTTCCAGTTTCTTCTTCCTGTTTCCTGCTTCAGCTTCTGTTAGAATAATTGTACAATAGTTATCATGTATTCTCTGATGTTGTAAGAACCAAATAAAGGAGAGGAGAGCAGAGAGAGCTCAGAGTAGGTTGGAGACTGTAAAGTCTCCGGTGCTCTCCTTGCACTCCTTGCAAGTATTCACTGTACTTACTGTGTCTGTCTATTTTTGTCCTCTTACAGCAATGAGTTTAGAAGTGTTTAGGGGCATAACCCTTTTCCTGTTTCCTGCTTCTGCTTCACATTTCTGTTTCCTGTTTCTGCTTCCTATTTCCTTCTTCCTGTTTCTGCTTCCTGCTTGGAACCTGCTTGGTTGTTTGTTTGTTGTTTGTTTCTAAGGCTCAGCATGTCTCTGCTGCTTGGCAGGAGCTGGAGTTCGTGAACCTGACGGCCGTCCTGCACTGCGTCCACTCCTTCATCGCTGCCAAAGTGGCCTCCATGGACCCCGGACCCTCGGGAAGCCACGCCCAGAGCTGAGAGGAGGTCCCGGAGGGGAGCAGCCTCCTCCTCACCGAACCGTCCATGTGAAGCTATCCCTGCTATTTTTCTACCAACTGCTGAAGAGGAAACATTTGGAGGAGATTAAAGACAGACGATGTACGACTCAGTGATGGGATTTATTATTTATTTTTCTCAAGCAGTTTTTCTGATGGAAAGGTGGATGAAACAAAGCCAAAAACCAGCAGCCGCCGGCTTTTCGCAGATATTCTGTCAGGATTTTAGGCCCTGACGCTCCCCATTCAGGCATTTAAAGCATAAAGAAGTCACAGACTTTTGATCTTTTCTTTCCTTTAAATTCACTGTTGACCATGAAAGAGAAACGGTTTCTTCTTTTTCTTGTTTTTTCTTTGTTTGCCTGCTGGGAAAACTCAGCATTATTAGCAGATTGCTTCCAATCAGCTTCTGAAACCACTCAATAAGTCTTAATTGGCTGATTTGGGCTCTTTGAAACTGAACAGAAAGCTCTGTTTAAGCCAGCCCCACCCAGCAAGTTTTGATTACCCAACAAGTGTCATCATATCAAACAAAGGCAGAGTTAACAAGTCTGTGGCCAACAAAGCTGTGTTTATGACGATAAAGCCGTGGAACTCACATGATTGGCTGTATTTTTAAATAAATTCTGTACCAATCAGGTCTCCAGCGGCTTTCATTTGCATCACCACTTAGTTTTTTTGTATCGTTGCCGAGCAGAAAACAAAAGACTTAAACCTCCCACTTTAAAAGAAAAAACATTTTTAGGCATTGACTGTAATTTTGAGCTATTTTCCTGGATTGTTTTTCAGCATTTTATCAATGTCTTTGTCGGCCAGTGGGATTTTTTTATGGCTGATACTGTAGAAATGATTATTTATCCTTTTTTCCCCTCCATTTATGAAAATTCCTAATTTAAGTTCTGACGAATAAAACTGGAGCATGCCTCAATCAGCTATTAAAAACAAAAAAATTCAATAAAAAAACATAACAAGCAAAAACTGTGACTTTAGCTCACTGTTTAGCGTAACCCTAATTAATAACAGCACAAACTGTTCAGCATGAGGATAAAATCACAGAATGATTAGCATGCTCATAATGCCACAAACTGATTAACATGCTAATAACGACACAAAGTCTTTAGCATGCTAATAATAGCACAAACTCATTAGCATGCTAATAGCACAAAGTAATCAGCATACTATAAATAGATCAACGTGATTAGCATGCTAATAACACCGTAAACTGTTTAGTATGCTGAAAATCATCCAATGATTGAACACAGCTGATATCAATACACACACCATGACACTACCGACACCGTGTTCCGTAGAAATAGCACCACTGATTTATCCAGACAGTTGTTCGTTGGTCCCATCAGACTGACCTCTGCTGGGAAGGGAACATGGTCCCTAGTTTGTATCGCTTGAGTTTATGCTTTATCCACGAAAAACGCCTGATGCTAAATTAGCTTGTTGTCTTTTGTGTCATTAAGTTCAATTTATACTTGGTTTGAAGGTCCTATGTGCTCACTAGACCCAGTCCTCACTAACTTGAAATGAAAAGAAGGAAAAAAGTTCCTTCTGCTGTTGGAATTGTGGAATTATTTTTCCTCTGACCAGTCAAACTATTAGCCACCAGATTAGCGACTATGCTAACCACCTGACAACCCATTTGTAGAATAACAGTCAGTGTCAGTGTCGTGCTCTGGATGGTTGACAGCAGCTAGTGGAGGCCAGAGGACGGGTTCCCAAAGGTTCTCATTAGTTATTTGAACTGGATTCGTAACAAAAAGAATCTCAATCTTAATCTGATGAAAGGCTCTATGATGGGATATTTGAGCAAAGGATTATCGACAATGTTTATAGACATAGACATAGACAACTTTACTGTCATTTTGTGTGTACGGAGTGCAAACACAACTACATTTCATTGCATACAGCTTAAGACAAGAACAAGATTCAATAATTTAGCAGTCTAATGGCAGTTCATCACAGACTTCTTCCGGAGGTTTCCGCCTTTTGTTTGGCTCTGGGGAGCGACCCGGGCGCCGTGGCAACAGGAGCGGATCCACAGCGTCAGCAGCAGGTGGAGCGTGACTCTGGAGCGCTCTCCTCACAGCCGGAGGCGTCCGGACGCTTAAGCTAACGGAGCCCTGATGGGCTGGGATGTGGAGCTCCGTCAGGCTGCACCGAGCAGCTCCACAGAGCCGTGAAAGCAACTGCAAAGCAACTGCAGTTACTCCCGTTCATCCATATTCACGTCATTTAGCTTCAGAGTAAACAGTTCCTCCCGTTCATCCATTTTCACGTCATTTAGCTTCAGAGTAAAATAGAGAAAGAAGAAATAACTGTTTGTTCAGAATCTTTCTAAGATGAGACCAGTGATTAACTCATTGACTGGCAGCCATTTTCAGAACAGAGTCCCATACTGCCAGAGTTTT